CCCCCCCCGTTCCGCCGCCACTGCGGCGACTTTGGATTGCACCGCACTCCGGTGACGTAGTTGCTACAGCAGGCTACTTGAGTCAGCTAAGGACCCCGGCATTTCAACCGAGAGGCGATTTTTACACTCATCGTAGAAATGTTGAAAAGTATGTTTACATCATCGTGCCCAGAATCCCGTATTTCTAGAGGTGACGAGATTGCATGTATCGTGCAATGCATGTGTAGTGTTGCTATATGTTTTGCACGTCATGTCCCCGGCTTGTGATTAACGGAAGATAATATACCTTCCATGCGTGAACATTATACTAGTATCTTTTCATGGACCACATTCCCTCTTTTCCCATAGAGGAACTGTGCACGACGGATGAACTGAATTATTGTGCGTTGCGCAGTAATTTCTATGAAGGAATTATAAATTAAGAATTTATAAATTATTATAAATTCATTATAAACATACTTTAATGAGAGTTAAGAAGTATAGGAAGGCTAACTATGAATTTAATGGACAATTCGGCTCATACATTTCTAGGGTTTGTATATGTAGGGACGTGTAACAACTGAGGATTGTTTATCGTGACCACGTGGTACAGAGATATCTCTCGTTGGGAAAACGCCTTTACATCGACAATATTAAACCGCTTACTTGACGACAGTCAGAATTTTGCACCCGATTGGGAATAGAAACTGACTTCCGACTTCAACAATCTTGCCATGGCAATAACTCTGATATTTCATTAAAACTAGTATGGTATTTAGGAGGTTGTGTTTTTAGTACGCCATGTCCCCAATACAGCAATTCTGCAACTAACACGCACGCTGCGATGGTTTCAAAAGCGATGAAATGAACACGGTAAGTAGGATTATATGTACACAGGTATACTACTATAAAGGCATGTTTGACTGCACACAGTGTGCCCATACGTGGTCAACGACCGGCGTTAGTCGCCCACAAAGGAAGGTGCTTTCATTATAGGACGGGTTCAATGCACTTAGAATATGATGAACGCGGTAGACCTGGTGTACGTTAGGGGGAGGGCGGGGGGGGGGGTATTCATTCAGTCCAAAATATTATAATGTAATATAAGAAAGCAAATAAACGACACTATATGTGTTTACCCAGGTAAATCAAATACTAGTCCGGGCGTTCAAAATCCAGGGCAGTTACTCGATGTGTTCTAATCGTTTCCGTTGCACAAACACTTCACCGTAACAATAGAACTGCCTTCGGGTGAGCCTTAAGGGCGAGAAATCTTTGGAACTCGGCCAGTCCAAAAAAAAACTCACGATGGCATTCATCTTATCCCAACCTAAAATTGAGCCAAAAACACCCCTCTCGCATGCGTATAATGCGGGGGGGGGGGGTCATCAATAATGCCACTTGCCAAAACAACACGTGTTTGTGTTGTTGTCTATGTTTTGTTTGGTCAAGAAGCGAGAACTTTACAAATATTCGTACGTGTGACGTCACTGTTAAAAAGCTTAAAATCAGTTGTAATGTACTATGAATATGACCACCGACGTTGAAACCGTCACTTGTTATCGAGGGCTGGCCCTACCAGTATTACCCCGGGAATCGTATTTTCACCAAGGTCGTTTAACTCCTCCCTCGGAGGTCATGTGGAGTCAATGACCGGGGAACGCATTTTCAGTACCACGGATGAGCAGATCAATCTGAATTAGGAATATTTATTTAAATTTCTTATAGAACGTTTTCGAGAACAACAGTTGGTTCAGTGCGTATAATATAACTCAATTGTTTTTCCTGTTATATTTTTTTTAAATCTTGTGCAATCAGTATTTATTCGATAAACAAGTATGTATATGATATACCATCGAGTTGAGTGTTGACAAAAAAAAAAAAAACGCACTTTGGAATGTGATGGCGTCACGTGGTGACTGGACCCCGGCCACAACTACACAGGTTCACATGTCTGCTAGCTACCCCCCAATCTCTTGTCATCGGCGTAATAAAACAACCCCAGAAGACAGTTGACCAGCAGCTACTGCATTACGATTGCCCGAATCGTACGAAATATCACAAGCCAAAATTACTATCTAGTGCAGTGTGCGATTGTACACCCGGCCATAATAATAATAATAACTTTATTACACTACTAAAAACCTTCAAAGGGTGTTTGTATGGTAAGGAACATAAATCCAAAGAAATAAAAAAACATACAATACATAAGAGATAAAAATAAAATGTTAGTAAAATAAAAGAAAAAATAAATTAATTACTTTCTGTGGTTTTAAAAAATTGTGCTAAAGCTATATTATTCTCCATAATCTTTTTAAATATGGAATTCACATCCATTGTGTAAATATTTATTGTACACTCATCAAACAGTTTTTTTCTTTGTTCTATATAGCCAGTACAAAATAGCAGGA